GGACACGGTGCGCGACCTCCTCTTCGTGCGGGGCTGCGTGCCCGGCGCCAAGGGCACCTGGGTCCGCGTGACGGACGCGGTCAAGAAGGTCACGCCCGCGGCGTACGACGCGGGGGACGTGCCCTTCCCGACGCGGCCCGCGGACGAGGACCTGCCAGACGTCCTCGAGATTGCCGGCGCCTAGGACGGGGGAAGGGCGCTCGGCCCCTACAGAGCGCGCCGGGCAGCTTTCCGGGTGCACCGGTTCAAGTTGCGACGCTGAGGCCTTTGATGAACTTTTAAGTAGGTGAGCTGGTGAGGAATCACTGAGGATCGTTTTAGTGGAACACTTGGTTGACCAAGCTCGGATTCCGCCGCCAGAACACACGGCGGTGGTGCTCGCCGCGGTCGTCGGAGCTCCCCGCCCCGGTCGTCGGCGCCCCCGCAGCGGACTCCGCGCCGTCCGGGGCGGCGCGCGCGGCTTTTCGGGGCTGCCCGACGCCGGCGGTCGGCTCCAGCTGCCCCATGCTGAAACGTTCCCTGAAGAGCAGCGGCATGCTGCTCCTCCCGGCGAGCCCGCGGGGCCGGCTGCGGCCCGTGGCGTCGTGCCCCGACCTCGCGCGGCGCGCCGAGGTGCCCGTCGCCCACAAGCCCGGCCGGCGGCGGCGAGGCCTCGGGCTCTGGCGGCTCGCGGCGGTCGGTGCCGCGGTCTGGCTCGCGCAGTTCGCCGTCGCGTCGCGGCGCGCCTACGTGCGCTTCCCGCTCGCGCTCCAGGCCGAGGCGCTGCGGTGGTGGCTCGGGAGCGTCCTCTGGCTGTCGCGCGCGCCCGACGCGGCCGCGGTCGTCGGCGGCCGCCGGTCGTCCGCGCCGCTGCCCCGGATCTCCGTGCCCGTCGTGGAGGGCACCTGGGACGAGGTCCGGGCGGCGCTGCCGGCCTTCGGCGACGACCCGCCCCTCGTCGTCGTGCGGGGCTTCGCGGCGGGGCTCCTCGACGACTTCGGCGACGCGGCGTCGTTCGCGAACCACACGTCGACTCGACGCACGCGTCGCGA